GGCGGGCGGGGGGCTCCTGCAGCTGCGCTGCGCGCCGGGCCCTGCGGCGGGACGGAGGTCTCGGCACCGCTCCGGTGCTGCGGGGCCTCGGGCCAGGCCACCTCCGCTGCCACCCCCGGGGCGGCGGGGCGGGCTCCGGCATCAAACCAGGGTGGCACCTTTCCYGTGCAGGCTGCGGCGTGACGGCACGGGCTGCGGTGCGGAGCTTCCTGCGCAGCTCCCGCACTTCTGCTTCGTACGAGGCCGAACAGGAACAGCGTTCAGCAGGCAACTGGTGTATTTTTACCAACATCCTAACAGCCATTAGGCYCAGTCCAAAGAGAAAACTACAGTGCGGGCGTTTGGAGTTTGCACAGCGCTTTTTTCTGTGGCGCCACAGTACCCCTCAAGCAGCCCTTTAAACTGCTTTTCTACCATGCACACARTCACAAAAACCTTAACCTTCATTTTACTGTCCATTCACCAAAATGTGTTTACCATTCATAAATAACTGCCATCATGACCGACTGATTTCTTCATCCTCATAYATTTGTAAACACCCACATTTATTTTGTCTTCGCCATCTGTCATGTACAGAGGACTGCCTTGTTCCTACTTCAGAGAAATCAAACTACCAAGTGACTGTTTCCCAGTATTGGGTGTGATGGGGACAGACGTTTACAAGTGCACACGGGTCTGTTCAGCCAGCTGCCTGTACAAACACGTGTAACAAGTCACAGGTAATTGTTTACACAGAGTGTTTATTGCAAATTGCTGTCACTTCCCCTGGACCTTGGCTTGTTTTATAACAAAGCTCCAGTGGGTTGTTTTCTATCTTACACCGATGATGCACTTTGCTTAGTGGCTAGACTAGATYGTCCCATCAGCAGGTTCATTAAGGAAATTCTGTAGTTTCATACTTTAAAGATAACTTATTTTACAAGTCTACACTTCCATGGACAGAGGTGATGGCTTCTACAGGGGATAAACAGAGACTAATTAACAAACTCTCAAAGATCACTATGGCTCTTAACCTATTTTAAGCATTGCATATTTTTAAAAACAACAACAAAAAAAAAATGGACACAACACAATCTTTGACAGCAATAAAAATGTTTTGTTGTTACTAAAGAAAAAAAGAAAGAAAAAAAAAATCTGCTTCTTTGCAGTCATCTTCACTCCAAAATCTGRGAAGCAGAAAATAACCATCCCCATTTACCAGCTAGGGGCAGGGCAGGACAGAGATGAAGGGAACTGAATGCATGAGGCAAAGATGACTCAGTACCTCCACTGCTGCTGGTGAAGTCCAACAAAGCATAAAATGGGAATGCAGAAAGATAGGAGGACGATGGTTGGGATATGCTTGGATTTTACCTGTTCTTTGTTTCTTTTTTTTTTTTTTCCCCAGTCTTATAGCATCCTTTTCTCCCCCGCTGTCTACTTACACTCTGCACATCCATCCAGGATAAGGAGATAAATACCATACCCCTGAACATCCATGTACTGACTAATRAGAAAAAGGGAAACAAGTTATCTTCAGGCTTATGCTCCTCTACAGGGAAAATACTSCTCTCAAAGCAAGGTTCTGTACAGATCTCATTTTTTAATGTTAGCCTAGAAGCTCTAATTAAAAATGTTAAAAATGCACTTCAGCCCTCTCTATAGAATCAGCTTGATGCTTCTGATGGAGAGGGAGGGAGATGCACTTCTGGAAGACTACAGATATGYTGGTGTTTCAAGCCTCCCCTGAATACTGGGGAACGGTCCCACATCTTGATGACTATTGCTTTTTTTGTTTTTTTTACTATTCTAGAAAACATTTAAGAACAAACTACAGGGAATAATAATAACAATAAAAAGTTCTAGTGACGTACCTTAAAACATGCATGCACCAAGAGCACAGGGCCCCTGGGATCACAGGCTGCATGCACAGCATGTTCATATRGCAAAAAGCAACGCGCACACAAGTCCTAGGAATCTACTTTCTCTGCAGAACATCTTAATGAGATCTACAGTGTTTTCTATCTCTATAACTCCTTTCATCTCATAAAACCTTGAAACATATGCAGAATTACAGTAAACTGTCCCTCTCTGGGGAAAAGACCCACTATCTCCCAATTTACAGCAACCCAACAAAAGCAGGAAGGCAGGATGTATTGCAGGCAAATACAGGGTAGTTCTCAGTCCTTTCAGTTTCTCTTCGTTACCATTTCCTACTTGGGAAAGGGAGGTAATAAAACTTCCTTCCTTCTGCCTTTATCTAACTAAAGTGTAGGTTCTTTGGGGCAGCGAGCTTATTGTGCGTATATACAGCATCTAGTACAAAGAGGTCACAAATTAATCCATGTCCTTTAAAAGCTCCTCTAAATACAAAGCATTATCAAAAATAAGAATAGGATATAATTTTCATTTGGAATAGATGGGATCTCTGCTTTCAAAGTATTATCACAAATTAAATGCATCTCAGAGAAGAGCTAAATTAAGGATTAAGGTCCAAGGTTTCATACTTATAACACCCCTCTCCCAACTCTATCCCAGCTGCCTATACTGTATTGAGATAACCTGCTGTTGAGTAACCTGCTGTTACTGTATTTACTGTAAAATTCTTATTACTTGCCACAATCTTAGAAAATATTGTCCTGAGTCTCATAGGCCAGTTTACCAATCAGATTAGGAGCCTGGTTTCTTCTGAGTTAGTGTACACGATTACTGTGATAACATACCCAAATTAACCTTTTGCATGTGCAATAAACTGCAATTAGCAATTTGCAGACAAATTGCAAGTCCCATCATTTCCTGTAATACGTAGCAATATACAAGCCAGATTTCCTATTGAATCCCATATTAACCTACATTCAGGGGCAGTGAAATCACAGAGCACTGTGTCAGAATTTATCATCTTTCAAAGATGTTAGCTCCTCCTCTTGACAGTACGAGATGGGTTGTTTATAAACAACTCATCCAGAACCCGAACAACTACAGCTAAAAATGTTTGATATTTTTCAGCAGTCCTTCCAACTTTTTTGGATACCTTACACGATGGGCTGGGCAGAGCTCTCAGAACTGTACGGTTGCATTAGAAACGATATGGTGATGGAGTAGTTAGTAGCTTTGTGAAATCTCCCAGGGATGAAAGCAGCCAGATGCAGAAATGCCTCTCCCAAGTGATGAGATGTTTCATGAAAAAAAAAGGGTGAGGGACAAGGGATAGAGGAGGAGAATAATGGTATTTTCTGCTACATACATTTTGAACCTGGTGATTTCACACTTCTCCACATTATAGAATTAACTTACAATATATTTTTTAAAGCAAAAATCATCTGGGACAACTTGGGAAAAGCAATCTTTGTCCCCAAAACAAAAGATCCATAAACCTTTAACAGTTACAGTCTACAAAAATGTTGATATATTAATGCAAATGATTCCAGTTGCTAATGGCTCCACTAAGTTCCTTGGTTCCAACTTATTAAGATGGAAGATTTTTGTAATAGTCATCACATGCTGTACTTTCTTCATATGCATTTGCTATTAGTTTGGCATCAGTGATTAGTGTGTGCATGCATGCAGGGGATTAACTGCCCTAAAAGAGTGCAGTTTTGTTTGAGATGACTGATGGAAGGCAATTCAAAAAGCCTAAAGATGCCTTCCTAATAAATCAGAATTAACCAGCCAGATTACCTGCCCACTTTAAAACTCTCCATCTGGACTCTAAGTGGCTTCCTTTATTTATTGTCTCTTCTAGTTCTTGCTTAAGAACCAAGGTTATCACACAGTATATCTGAATGAAGTGGTGTTTAATAATCCCGTCAACACCAGAGGTTAAATGTGAAAATGGGTTTCCTCTGCTTCCCCATTTCGTGTCTGGCGCGTGGCCTCCCTCCCGTGCCGGCGGCGCTCAGCCCCGCGTGCTGCAGCGCACGGCTCGCAGGGCTTCCAGGCACCCACCACACTGCTGGGCACCGGATATCAAACTGGGACTGGTTTGTTTGTTTATTTATTTATTTAGGTTTACATCTGCATGTTTATTCTAAGCTTAACTTACAGATCTGTGAGATAACTCGTAACTCTGAGCCTCGTTTTAATGTCTGAACTAGCAAATTATAATTATGGTCATATCACTTGTACAACCTTTGCTTCCTCCTTCCTTCCTCCCTCCCTCACTCCTAGTGCCATTGAAAGGAACAAGAGGAACTAATTGTCGCCCTAATCTAACTGTGTATTAACTCCTTTGTACAGAGACTATATAATGTCTAGGCAAAATC